GGACGAGATAGCGCCTCAACTGGGACGGAACGGAGCGTTTCCCCGGCGGCGGCGGTGGAGGCGCCTCCTCCCATGACTCCTGTCTGCGGCGGGCGCCCGACGGAGTGGCCAGCGCCCGGGAGGGGCGGCCGGGCGCTTCAATTTAATTTTTCATCGCTGTGAATCATTGATTAAGCTTTTTCAATTGCGGTCGAAATCCGGTTTGTCTCGTGCAGGCAACCTTAAATAAATAATTCCCCGACTCCCCGACGCTCCATTCAGTTCTTTCCCCGTTTTTTCGATCACACTTCCCACCTCTATTTGAACAGAACCAAGTTTTCAATTACGCGCACTCCACACTTCATAATCCGCCGCCGTTGCCGGGCCCCGCGCAAAATGCACCGCAGTGAAAAAAATTCTCGGCGTTTTTACCAAGGTCCGTTGGTACCTTTACCATCTCACTTTTTTTACGAATTATTGGTAATTTTACCAAGACAGACTTGTAAGCATACCTAAAAAACGGTATTTTTACTGTTTTTTTCGGGTAAGAATACCACTTTTATTGGTAATCAATTTCCGGTAACTTTGCCATTTTATCTCGGTAATTCTACAATTGTCGATAAAAAATATTGGCGTTTTTACCAAGGTCCACTAAAATCACCGAGAAATAAGTTCAATAATTTTACCGAGATTTCTCGGTAAAATACCAATTCCATAAATGGTAATTTTACCAAGAAAAAACTGGGATCAAATAGAACCCTGAATTCTTCGTAATTTTACACTTTCCTTAGTAAATACACCGGGATTTTTTTTTTCAGTGCAGGGTGCTCGGAGGAAAGCGTGTTTTAGGGGTCAAAATAAGAATTTTCCCTTCCTTCAAGTTTCTCCCAAGAGTGCCTCCAGTTGGATCTGTAATCTCTACCAAATTCCCGGGAAAATCTTCGTTTTTTACGAATTTTGACGACGGTCGTTGTCCAAAACTCATAAAACCGGTTGTCTTCACAATGAAGTATTTGCAGATGTCTGAACTTCAATAAATGGAGAATTCGCACACAAAAATTGTAGTGCTTCTTCTAAAAGTGCATCATGAGCTGAGTTCGCAGAAATTTCATAATTTTTTTATGACATGAGACATTGGAGAAAAAATAATTTGAAAGTGAGATGATGTGCAGCCATTGTGACGTCACCTGGCGGCGTTTCCCATTTAAACACATGTATTTTAGCAGAATGGGCTATTTTGTCATATCTCCTTTAATAATTGCTCAATTTATGAATCAAGGGCATCTTCGTAATCAGTTCACTCAGTGAGGATTTCACTCAGATTCCACTTAAACACGAAATTCATCAAATTTCAGACCCTCTTGCAAATTCTCCATTTTGTGTCTGTGAGTGGAAACTATTGAGAGAACTGAACACGAGGTTACCCGTGGTACATAAATTGACCAATCATTGGAGGATATGACAAAATAATCTAATCTGCTAAAATGCATGTCAAAACCAAATGATGTCATTATAGGTGGTCATCTTCTCACTGATAAATTTATTTTTACACTGCTTCCCATATCAAAAGAAAATTATAGAAAATACTGCATGGAATCAGCTTATTTAGCAGGGCACTTTAGGATAATGTTGCCTCATTTATTTTTTTAAAAATAGGAAATAAGATTGAGGAGACGGAATGTAAAATTAGATAAATATCCCGCTAGCCTCAGTAGAATATAGTTTATTGCGGTGATTTTATCCCTGAAATACTGTGCGGCGCTGTCAATATTGAAATCTCTTCTACATCAGCGAATACGTTATTCCCGTTCTCCACATTGGGAAAATACGTCGCTTAGATCTAAAGTCCAGACTCTTAATAACATTAACAAGAAAAAATACTCTTGATTCAATCCGATTTTTCCTGAATCGAAGAGCCGAGCATCTTGATTTGGGCAGATTACAGATAGAAAAACTCCGATTGAATCAAGGTTTCTTTTTCTTGTCAATGTTTTTAGGAGTCTGGAATCTACATCTAAGCCGTTTTTTTCCAGTGTAATAAAAAGGGATTAAGAAAAAAAATAGTCTGATCTATGAAAAATACTACTTTGCGAACGAGATGGACATTTTTTTTTTCATCTGAACGATTCTGGACTTCTTTGGCATTCGTATCATTAATACAACCTGATCGAATTAGCTGCGCCGTGCAAACGTACGGTATAGGCACGACTTTTGTGCATCGGTGATCATGTCGTGTCCTCTCGTAAATCGCACGAAACTATCTTGAACCGCACGCAATTGCAGTTTTAAGGAAGAATACTATAACAACTATAGTATTCTTTGTAATTAAAAAAAGTATTCTTTTAATAAATAATTAAATTTCTAATTCTCTAAAATTATTTATGAACACTCACAAACATGGATATAGCTGAAAATTTATATTCATGATATGACTGTCACCGACGAAATTAAAAAACAAGCAGTTCCAACGCCAAAGCGTTGGAGGGCGCTTCTTTAACACTGCGCATGCGAGGAACGTTTTCATACGGCCAAGCGAGAGTATTGCGGACGGACGATGTATAACAAATTGCCTACGTGAAGGTGGTCCGGCAGCAACATACCCGCCGCTAGTCTCTGGAAAACAATAGAAAATAGTAGTTGCGTACGTTGCCAGCGAGCGCGCTGCGAGCGCATATGTTTCAATTACCTAGCATCGAGTCGGGCCTCTAACTTTCTATTCTCTCTGACATAACCTTAAACCCAGAGCCGCAAACAGCTGACGCTTGACGATGCTGCGCCGAGAAAATGAACCAATCACAAAATAGCACAGTAATACGTCACTAAAATGAAGAGATCACGTGACTGTTCGTGATTTTTTCGAATCAATCTGAAACTACAACCTCGAATATGAGGCATTTAAGCATAACGAAGCCCCAAAATAGTTTAACCAGGTAATACGTCCGTGCGAGATTGTTATGCTTAAAAGCAAAACATTTCACGAAAACTTTTACGAATACCAGATGCAGAAGAAAATCAAATTTTCCCGGGTGTACCAGAATGGCGTCATTACCCATAAGGCAAAACGGTATGTAGTATAGTACATGTTACATCGGGGGAGTCGAACGGCTGGAAAGGGCGCATCTGGTACCCAGAAGCGCCCAACTGACCTAGGATGAGTCTCATCCGATAAGTCTCCACATTATTCTGGAATTATTCCTTGAATTTTGAGAATTAACTTTGCAACTCCGGATGCCTCGCCCCCTACAGGTTTTCTCTCTCGACCAGTAATACCCTTTCATCTCCGAGTCGTAATTTTGCGATCACTATATCTTAACCATTATTAGTGCTTATTTATTCTCCGTTCTCTTCCGGTTTCCACACTATGGTGTTTCTCTCTCCAGTCCTTACCTATTTCCTGTCCAAAGCTCATGAATCCAGATACCCGGGTTTTTCCTTTCCTTTTCCTCTTTTTTCATCTCTAACGACAGTTTTTCTATGGTCAGAAGCTTTCAAATGAATTTAAAAACGTCATCAAGGTCACCACTGATGACCAACTGATCTTATCGCCAGACAATCATTAGATTAAAGATCGTACATTAAAAGAAAAAAGCCCTGGGAACTGGACTCTCCTCGGCTCGACCTATTCTCAATCCTGTTGGTCATATACTGTATTAAACTAGGTTAAGTTTCTGTGGACTCATAGGACTCGCACGTCCGTCATAATCTTAAGGAAGTAGGTACTATCCTTCTTTTAGTTTATTGATCAAGAATAAATACAAGTATACACGCACAAAAAATGTACAGAGTATCTTAAGTCAATGTATTTCTTTAGAATTTGTTTCTAGGTTGAACTTTAGTATAAATAATGGCGAGTATATCAATGAATCCAATCCTCTGCGCTTCGAAGAATATACGCTTAAAAAATCTGCGAAACGTCATGAGTACTGTTTTGCTGTCAAGAATAGCCGTACAAATCTTCTCTTCGAAATTCAACAGGGACACATTCCCTCTGATGATCCCCGCGTTGAGACCGAAGTTTAGAATTTTTCCACATCTCCTAAGTTAAAAATCTGAATTGTGGGTAATTGTATCACACTTCCTTCAATTCTGTGAAAACGTCCATAGCCTCACTTCCTGAAAGTCTCTAAAAAGAATAATGATAAAGAAACCAAGCAAAGAGTTAGTCGAAACGTTTGCTAGTTCATTATGTTAAGCTAGAATCTATTAACCTAACATCCTCTTGCACATTGTTTCATATCATTAAAGCATGGCCTGAGTCGGAATCATAGCTTATACTTGACAAATCGGCTAGTGGCTCAACTTTTGTTTTCATCATTATGAGTATTGAGCTGCTGAACAACCTCGAAGAAACTAGAAGGCTTAAGAGGGTAAACTTTGGGAACTAGTCTCCAATGCAGACTCAGATTTTTAAGATAACTTTATCCTTACGTACTAATTAAATTAATAACAATAACTAAGTATCTCATTTGAAACTCATCCATTATTATCTCCACCCAATGCTTATGAATATCTCTATCACTCATATACTTGAAATTATAGAAATATAAGTAATTAGGCTGTTATTACTTTTGTATACTCCTTTATTTATAAGCCCGTCGTAATTCGGTTAAAATGAAAAGACATTTTTATTAAAATATAAATGTAAAATATAAATATGTTTTATTTTCACTCCGGATAATTTTAGGTAGTATACAATTTGTTAAAATTAGGTAATAGCTAGTATTTTATAAGCTCAGTTAAAAATAATCATTTTAAAGACACTTTATAGGTCTAAATGCTTCATCTGTACAAATGTTATTTATCTTGTGCAAATAAAAAAAAAAACTCCTTTATTTATAAGTTAAAATATTTGTATATATTTCCATCGTAGGAATATTACAATAAATCAACTCTATAAACAAAAAAAAAAAAACGAAAAAATCAAAAGTAGCCGAAAACCGAAAAATCTTGTAACCAACTCACCAACTCAACAACCTTACATTCCTTTTCTCAATTAATGTTTATCCTAAATCTGTTCGCAGGTGCATCGCAGAGCGGCACGATGCAGCAGCTACTGGCCCTGCTCGCCCTGGCTGCGTGCCTGGCGGACGTTCGCGGCGCCTTCAAACTGACGTTACTCCACACGAACGACATGCATGCACGCTTCGATGAGACGAACCAGAACACGGGACCGTGCAAGAACACCGTCTCCCACAAGGGTTGCTACGGTGGCTTCGCGCGACTTAAGCATGCCGTGCTTGAAGCCCGCCAGAGAGCAGCACAGCAGGGGCGCAGCTCCTTGTTCCTCAACGCTGGTGACAACTTTCAGGGTACTCCTTACTACACCCTCTTCAAGTGGGACGTCACCGCTGACCTCCTTAACAGACTTGATATCGATGTCATGGTAGGTGGAAGTTTTATTAAGTAAGAGATTTTTTTAAGTAAAAAATGTTCAAAAGTTGATTATTACAAGAGTGGATTGTAGAAGAGGATCCCTAACAGTTTCCAGCTCCTCTTCTGTCTGGGACGGAGTAAGTAAAAAGAAAGGACTCTGGACATTAGCGGTTTTCGCATGATACGTAAAAATCGCCGAGTTTTGGAGCCGTTTGATATTTTCGAAATTCATTCCACAGATGTTAAAGCGGTAGATTATCATTCACATAAAGGTAAAAAAATAAAATTCCGGACAATTGCGGCACTTAAAATAAGTTTCATCACAAAACTCCCAGCAATAAACTGGACATCCGCGGTTTTCGCATGATTTGTGCTTGGTCGGTTCTAAAACATCGAAAACGCGTACTTTGCTTTTCGGGCAAAATGAGTTTATCAATACGCAATTTGAGGCGCTGAATCCGAATATGACCTCCGTTTTCTTCCATCACCCTCCAATTTTCCGGAAAAGCCGATTTCAATCGGAAAAATGACCATTCTTTGGCATTTTCGGTGTTTTTCCGACTGTTATCCCCTGCAGAATGTAGGTAAAATTTTTCGTAGCTACGAGATTCAATTATGCCGATGTCTATTCAACTGATGAGTCCGGAAATGACCTTAATTTTTCCCGTTCACCTCTCAGTTTTCCGGGAAAGCAACCTTTCCCCGGGGAAATGAGCAAATCCGAAGTATACTTGTCGTGGATGCAATTTATTTTCATAAATTTTCCTGAACCCGTGGTAGTATATTACTTATGTACTTTGAGCTGCTAGATCCGAATATGACCTCGGTTTCTTTCTATCACACTTCAGATTTCCGGTAAAGCCGAGTTTTCCGAAGCCGAGTTTTTCTAATAATTACACTGTGTCGCATCCATGCAACGCCCCAAGTTTCTCGTCTATCCCTTTTCTTCTCATTTCTTCCAGCTTTCCTTTCATTTCTCAATTTCCAACATTTTAAGGCCTTAAGCCGATATTTCCAAACAATTAGACTAGCCATCTAGTCAATTTAATGTCCTCTTTATCAGTAACGGTGAGCTGATGCAATGTCGACCGTTAATTTCGCATCCATGCCTCGTGAGGGCTGGAGAGACTTGTAAAACTTCACTTCGATTCCTACCATCTTAGCGAAAGCCTCGAGCTGTTCTCTCTGCGCTCAATCTAAGTCCTAGTCAAATTGCCTTTTTGTAATATTTAGTGAGTTCCGAATAAAGCGTCCGGTTTTGTTTAAACAACATTGACTCTTCTACTTTTCAAACCCAATTTCGGCTCTCCCACCAATTCCGCCAGTGCGCATAAGTCGGATTTCTTAGACGTTTCAGTCCGTCTAACTTTCGCCGAATCCGGGTACGCGACACACTGATTGTTGGATACTTTTTCAAAAATAATTAGAGCCTCTAGAGATAATTTTGAAAAATATCTTTGGAGCACATCGTGTGGTCCTTTTAATATGTAACGAAAAATGTGTATTTTTTTCGCGATAGAGGTAAGATGAGTTATTTTATTATTATCAAAACTTGTCTAAAAAAAGCTGAATTTTTATACTTCCGAAACGATGACGAGCCAAACCTCCCATCAAAATATCCAACTGAGTTGAACTTATACTTTTTTCAACCAAAAATGTACACATTATCTTAAAATGTACGGGTATAATCTCCCCCTCATCGAAACTTTTTTGTTTTGGGTTGCAGTCTCCGAGAACTTGCTCAATGCGAGGACGAGGAGGAGGTCTAACGCTTTAAAAGCTTGAGAGAGGAGAATCAAGATTTTCACAAAAACTTCACGTAACGATCGCGGGGCACCTCACCTGATATCTTCGCATTTAGAATCAATAGGCCCGGGTTCGCAACTCGATGTAGGGGTAGGGGAAGGGAGAGGCGGTAACTTTCCGGGGCGGGGAAGGGGGTGGCAGAGGTTTTCGTTCGGCGGGCGGAGGGTGGTTCGCTGTAAAAAAAATCCGTCTCGACCTGTTGAGAGACACCTGTTCCGAAACGGATCACGCTTCTACGTCTCTGACGCATTAATGGTACATTATCCGCCTGCTTTCTCCTCCGAGCACCCCCCCTCCCCACGAGCCCGCACAGCTTTTTAGCCCCGGCCTCCGACGCGAAAGTTTTTCTAGGTCAACTTACACTCTCGCTACCGCCCCAATCTCCCAATCCCTTGATGGCTGTTTCCTTTTTTTTAGACCCCCACCCCCTTTTCCGCCCCGCAGGAAAAGAGGCTTTCCCTTTTTCGTGGAATTACCGGAGTGCAGTCAGTTAAACCACGGCTCTGAAAATAACGCCCCCGGGTATTTACCGGCAAATAATCAGCGAGGATCAAATGGACGTATTTCTGCCAAACGGAACTATGTACATTGAGACATGAGCCCTAAGACCCATAAGAATATATGCATAGCAGGGCCCACGTCTTAATGCACTTAGTTCCGTTTGCCAGAAATACGTCCAAATTAAGACGCCCACCACTTTCAACTCGATGAGTTCAGTTTAGTTAACAATTTAAGACGGCGGTTTTTCCTCACTTTATTTTCTCTTTTCGACTGATTTTTTTTGAGGAGGGGGGGGAGGAGGATCGGCTTAAAAACTCGCATTGCATGTTAGATACCCGTTTTATAACCGTAGGTGTTCATCAAAGAGGTAAATGTTTTCCCGCAATTCCGTGGGTATGCAACTTCAGCTTCTTGGAAATTGAATTTGTTGTATCGTATACCACGATCATGAGACGTCGTAATCAACCAAGATAAAGTGAATTGCTCTTGCACTTTACCTGCTCCGACTTTCACCTATGTTTGTATAATGCATGCATCATTTTGAAGGTCAAAAAAGGGATTTAAACAAGCTGATCAGGAATGTTCTTTATGAACTCCTTGTATGGTATCCTGGTAAGCGAGGGACGCTTTTCAAAAACTTGCCGGAGGTATATGTCTTTGATTTTTAATCATTTTCCCAAAACCGAAAACAATGTTTCTTCTTGCGGGAAAATTAACATAGTCTTTTTTTTAATTTTCTGGAATTATTCTTCGTTCATCTGTATAATCGGTAGATATTTATTGGTCATTCAATGTCCGAACGAGAAAGCATGACAAAAAAAGAGAAAAACACCGCAGGCTGAGATGATTATGATAAATCATTGGACTATGTTATGTTACATGAAATCAATATTTCTTGCACATTTTAGAAACAGCATTCGGATAAGATTATGCAAAAAAGAACTGAAGGGCATAAGATACAGTCCAAAATTCACTTAGTCAACCCACAGATTTGTAATCTGATGATCACTGTTTATTTTTGAGAATGAAGACGTACATAGATTATTCACGAGAGTTCAAAGAGTTGCACTATGAAGTTGTTAGAGTGCACTTCACAAAAACTCACTTAAAGGAAAGGTAAATGCTTTGGGAACGCGACGCGACATGGAATCTGCAGGTCAGATGGGTGGCGAGAAACCTCCGTTTGAGGCATGCTTGGACTTTTATAAATTTTGTGATGTTATGGGTCACGCTTTTAGTGTCCTGCTCTCATTGGTGAGGCGGTCTTAATTGGACCGCGTTTGACAGAAAGGAACCAAGCCACATCAGCTATTGCCAAATTTAACCGTGCAATTTAATTGTTCACGAGAAAACGTTTTTATGGATGCCTTTGACAATTTTAAGGAATTCGCTTCGTACTGTGCAGACAATTCACTGAAAATTGCACAAAAATCCGCACAACCGTTTTCATGTAAAAAATTAAATTGCCCGATTTTATTTGGCAACAGCTGATGTAGCTTGGTTCCTTTCTGTTTAACGCGGTCCAATTGTCTCCAATCTAGTCGATTAAATCATCGTCGATAAGATTATTGTTAGCGTAAGAAGAGACTATGAGTGTATTTTGAACTGAATTAGAGATAAAAAATGAATTGAATATAGTATGCTTGAGTTGACAAGGGGAAGATAAGTTTAAGAGAATTTGGAAAATATCAAATTTGACAGGCTGTTCGGGAAAAAGAGGTCTGTTCGCTTCAAAGTGACCATATTTTGAAGAACACGGCACGGAAGTGGGTATGAAAAATTGTTGGCAGTTATTCACGGTGATCTGCCGGCAAGTGCTTGGGCACAATCACGTGACGTTTTACAAAACACAGTTGCTTTGTAGCCAAAAATTGTTCGACAGTATTATTTTTGCCTTATGTCACCAATGCGTTCCGATATTTTTCCTATATGCAGATAAATACTGGTTCCAAAAATACTGGTTCCTCGTCGCAAAATATAGTCCAATTCGTCGTTTCCCGAACGAAGGAACGCAACTATATCCCAAGATTGCAAAATTGCCTGCTTCCAGGACTTTATGCCCACCTACTTTTCGTTCGTTAAATAAATGTCCACCGCTATTTATGTCCACTAAACGTTAAGTCCAGTCTTTATTAAGTCCACATGATTTAATGTTCAACCATAAATATGTCCAAAATTGTCCAAATCGTGGACATGTTGTGACAAGCGTTGCGGCGCGGCAGGCAATCAGCGTGACACGCGCATGGGCGCCTACAAACCTAACGGGATACTTCACGCGTTGCGCAATGCGTGAAGTATCCCGTTAGGTTTGTAGGCGCCATTGCGCGTTCTGCGCTGCTAACACGCCGCTCGGCTCTGTGTTAGGCTCTAATATTTAAACTCGCAGAGTCGGCGTTTTTCAACTCATGATTTTGAAATGTTTGCACTCTCTGCATTGATTATTCCCTTTTAAACTGATGAAAAAGAAATATGTACTACTGGAAAATGTAATGTGTTTTTTGTGTATATATTAGTGGTTCCGTGTCAAATTTAATGATTTCCAAAGCATTCAAATTTATTTTTTTATGTTTTGGGCTTTCACTGTGCTGCAGCGTGGTGTAAGCGCAACTAAACGCTCAAAATTGGACGTATTTGACTCAAGGAGGTCGATGTACAAATAAGTTAAACACAAAAAATTGCGTGCTTCTTAGTTTTTTTCCTCTT